AATCACTTGATGGTCTAAATTGATTACCTGTTACTTGAGTTTTTGATTTTTCTTCTGATTTACATTCTGTATTTTTGCCCACAAACAGTAAGGATTTCTCATTTGAATACTTGGCTGCATCTTCCAGTTCTGTAGCTATATTGACGCAAGATTCATCGATCTTATCCTTTGTAAGTCTAGTTCCTAATTTTTTTGTATCCAACTGACGTGTAATACCTTGTTGTTGCTTTGTTTGGGAAATTTTCTTGTTATCCAATTTGATTTTTGTAGCTTCTACTTCAGACATGACATCTGATTCCAAGATCTTATTACTCTCTACCACAGATTCTTTGCTCTTTACTGATATCGTAGAGGTTGATGAGGATTTTCTTGACTCAATGGGGGACGTAGTCTCTCGTTTGTTAGAAGCTTTTTCTACACAATCAATCGACTTGGCAGTACATGTATCACTTTCAACTTTGACATTACTATCTATCTTATCATCCTTATTATGGACCAAGGTCTTTCGACCAGTCACAACATCTGGCGTCATTCGGAAAGTCTCAGATCTGCTCTGCCAGTTGGTGATATCGTAAGGCGCGCGTTGAACATATTCAGTATCATCGTCTGACTCGGAGTCAACCGTCGTTCGGTAGACTGTCGCCTGAGTGTTTCTCTTAACGTAGACCCCGCGACCCAATTCCTCGTCAGCGCTTTCAAAGTCAGCGTCGCTTTCGGACGTTGCCATCTCTACGTATAACGGGCCTGTCCCTGGAAAAGATGAGAAATCCTGTGCACACGTTTGGCAGATCTTGACGCTTAAGTACCTTGTCGCGATTGTCGCGAATCGAAGAATTCAACTTTTTCAGCGTCGAGGCGTTAAGCCAGCGTAAGCTTGCGTCAACATATGTTCCGCATTATATTCCGTACACGCACGCACATATGTGCGTGTCCGTGTGTTTATACGTTGACGGTCACGTGGGTCGTAGATGACGGAGTCATCGGACAAACACGTTAAATTCGCAATCATTCGCAATACACGCCTTCGTGGCGTTCGCTTCGCTGCGACGATTGCGCATGCGAGACGATCTCGTCTGATCTCGCCTGCTCCAGGTCCGAGGCAGTCCGTTGCACTCCGTCCGTCGAAGCCCCGTAAGTTGAACGCCAGCTCTGCACTTCTCTTGTGCGCGTGGCAATTGAAACGCAAGCGACATGTATGCGACTGTTGAAGAAATTGAGAGAGAGAGAGAGAGAGATGAGATGTAAAAGGTGTAATGAACGATCATATGTCATTCAAAAATATGACATGATTTTTTCAGCAGAAGGGAGCAGATTTCTACGGTCATTACAATCTGTCAACACAGACGATTAAAAAAGATGTTATTTATTTTTCTTTTAAAAGATTTTCGGATCCTGTTCGTTTAATGCTTGTTATTTCTATTAATTAATGTAGATTAATTTTAATCTCAGTTTAATTTACTCTTCATTTTTTTAAAATTAATTCTTACACACATATATACACACCTCCGCCGTTTCTACCAATACAGATTGATTTTTCTCGATTCAATTTTTTCTTTACTTTTTTAATTCTTCTAAAACTAAAAACAGATGAAGAGTTAATTGAAAATTAAAAATGACCTGCATTGATAGAAACGAATATTGCTGAATTCACCCTGCATCCGATTTGCATCGTACGACGCTCTGCAACCAATTAGAAAACAGGATTCCGATGGATTTTGCTTCGTATCATCGGAATCCTGTTTTCTGATTGGTTGTAGAGCGTCGTACGATGCACATCGGATCCAGTGCGAATCAAACAATATAAAGCTTTGTGTCCACGATTCTAGAAATCTCAAATGGAAAAAGAATTAACCAATCACATTGGTTATATACGAGGCCAAATTATTCAAATATGCAGATTTGTTAATTCTTTTACTGTCCGAGATTTCGAACCGATTTCTTAAGGCTTTAGAATTAAAAAAAAGATAAAAAGTAAGTTGAGTCAAAGTTGAAATTAATCTTCTATATTAGTAGAAACGGTCATTAAACAGGGAAGAAAGTCTGCATATTTCTTTTCATTTCGCATATCTCATCAAGGCTGTGTTCGCTTTGGTGCTCACAACGCTGTAAGCTTCGTTTCATCCTTGTTTATTAAATATTAAACAAGGACAATTGATACTCACAAGCGCTATGAGCAGCAAAGCGAACGCAGCCAAGTGTATCTATAATTTCGCGCCCCATATACTTGAAATAATGGCTGCAATCGATTTGGACGCTTTCAGCGCTTTTCAGTACTTCTATTCTTATTTTACATTTAATGAACGATAAAGAAAGAATGATGATTACAAGCGCTTAAAGCGCGTGAGCGTCCAAATCGACCGCAGCCAATAGATCTGCTCGCGTTGCCTGCACTTTTTGCACTCGACATCTTCGCTTTCTCTCTTTTCGTAATACGAATACATATTTTTATCTGATTTCAAGTGCAAAAATTAAAAAAAATTTCAATAAACGCAACGAATCTAAGAAGCGCATCCGGAGCGCACCTGTACCCACGGTGTATTGTACGGTGGTGCCATTTTTGCGACGTAGCGGCAAATATGCGAGGCATATGAAAGGGCAAATACGCTCGTTTATTCCCGCTGCCTCTCGTGCGCGCGCGCGCGCGACGATCAGCCGACACATACGAAAGGACTACCGGCGTGGTTTGAAAGGAGACAGCACAATTGGCGCCGGTGCGAGAGCGACGAGGACCGAGGATAGCTATGCGGTCGAGAAATCGGTGCGGGTGGAAGGGACGATCGAGTGAGCGACGAGGACGGACGTCACGAGTTGAACGAGTTAAGACAACACGTCACGACAACGCTGGTGGGAGACAGCTATGTTCTTTGCGGTGAATACGGATGAAAGGGTAGTAGAGGGGGGGGGGG